ATCAGCTAGTTTGACAAACATAGTCTAAAATAGACCCGCCTGTATATGATCTTTTATTTTAGAAACAAATTAATGAAATAATAGTTTCTGCATGCATGTAGAAACAAATAATACTTTCATCATGGTGCTGAAATTCATGCATGCAGCTTCATTAATGAGGAGAATCCAAAGAATAGATCCTCTTCTTCTCCATCCAATCAAATTGAATATATATATATATATAAATAAAAACAAACGTAAATCAATTTATGATATTAACTTTGTAAACTTATCACAACCATTCATCTTGTGAATCAATGGATGATAATTATGATGATAATTTGTAATAACTAATAATATAATATAAAATTATTTTTTAATGTTTAAAACATGTAATTCTTACAAACCATAATCAATACTTATATAGAGAAAAAATCGAGATATTTATGGACAATTATTATGATTTATTACTTATAATTGAGATATATATGGAAGATGATAAAGATCATTCATTATAATTAAGGCTTTAGATTAGGATATATATATATATATATATATATATATATATATATAATAGAATCAGATGGTTATTATACTAGATGAACTGTTAAGATTGGTTTGTATGATTTGTATTTTAAACCTCGCATATATTATATATATGAAGGATCAAACGAGAACAAAATCAAAACAAAATTTAGTGATTCACATATCAATTTACACTAAAATCACATATAATTCATGGGACTTTGGCCTCAACCTAAGGTCACGGATCAGACCCTTTCCACTCACTCTTGCATTGACCGTGTTCCATAATTATATGTAAAATCATATGTTATTTGGTCGTTTTATTGTTCTCTTATTTTATACTATTCTCATTTGATCTTCTCTCTCTCTATCTCTCTCTCTCTCTATATATATATATATATACACACACACACACACACACAAATATATAGGTGGGAGTTCAAACAAGAACACTTATATTTTACCAAAAATGCAAGAACACTTCTAAAACCTTCAAGTTGATTAATAACATAAAAAATTGGAATAAGTGAAAAATAAATTAGTATTTATCGACAATTATCTGTTATTTGAAATTTATCTTTCCCTTAAATATTGTTATTATCATCAAAGATTTTTTATGTCAATGTCATTTGTCAATAATAATATGATAATATTGTGATAATGATCTGCATATAAAAACACATACAAGAAAAGCATAAATAATTTAAGAAAACCGCACTCTTAGTTTGCTACGTCAGTTGTGCGTCTCCAATAGCTCCTGTAAGAGGTCATGTCTAACCAAAATAACTCATCACACGTACTCCTCAATCGTTACACTTCTATCCTTCTCCAGACTTGGAAATTTACATATATAACCTTAAATAAAATCTTAATTAAATCCATGACCTTATGATGAGATGTTAATTTAGGTTTTCTGCTACTATGTCTATTTGATGTTAATCTTGTTTCTGGATATTCTTTTTGTTGCTCGAATTTCTGTTGTTGGATTTTTGCCGGTATGACTCTATGAATATTACGACAGGGTTCACCTAAAACCCTTAAGGTACGTATATGTCTCCAACGGTATGTCTCAATCGATATTTCATAAGCAACTTACCATCTCTACAAGTAGATTAAGATCAAAGCACCGTTAATCAGATAAGCGTCATCATCCTTATTTACAGGGTAAGATTCTCGGTTTTTGTCATGTTCACTCGCTAAGATAAGTGACCCGGTAAGCGCTTACTTGGTGAGCATTGGGTAAACGACCCCTTAGTTGCTACCTTAGTCTTGTGTCTTTAAGGTATGTCACCTTAAACAAGATTTTTACTAAATCCATGGACCCATAAGTATAAAGTCATTTTTTTATGAACATAACCATACATTAAACAAAATTGACTTTATAGGAGGCCTAAAATGTAGAAACGTTCTAAAAGAATTCTTATACAACTTAGATTTATAAGACGAAACCATAAAAATGTCATATCTAAAAGGGTTACAATAAGTTTATATAACACTTTTAGAAGTATTAACAAGATTTTTAGGACGATTTTAAAATAAAGTTCTTATTAACTATTTAATATGACACTGTTTAAAAAAGTGTCATATTCCTATAAAAAATGTCTTTTAAAATAGCTAACAGAACGATTTATTTTTTAAAAAGTCATAAAAAAACTTGTCAAAATACCTAAAAACATCTTATAAACCTATTGTAACGCTTTTAGAAAGAACGTTTTTATAGCTTGTTCCTGTGATCCTAAGTTCAATAAGTATTATGAAGTATTCTATTAAACCCCTTCTTGTAAAGCCATTTTTGTCAGAGTGAAACCACCACAATCTTCCCTCCCTCAACTTCTCCATCCCTCACGATTCCCAACTCTATCCAGAAGATCTGGTTCGGTATCATGCCAAATTCGAACAACAGAAAGAATAACCAGAAACGAAATTAACATCAAATAGAGAAACTAGCAGCAGACTTAAATAATAGAATACAACAATCCAAAACCATTATCAACAAATTCAAACGAAAACAATCAACAGAGGTCAGAGGACTTCATACAGCTATAATTCTACTAACAATACCTTGAAACACCATAAATACACACACTCACACACACATATGCACACATGAGAAACGGATTGAGATAGAGAAACAGACCTGTAAGGAAGACGATCGAAGAAATCTCCATCGCCTGATCGCCGATACGCAATGGATTTTGAGCGGTAATGAAAGGGGCTGGTGGCTATTTGGGCGCGAAATCTGAAATAGGGCTTTAAATAGTCTGGTAATGGGCTGGGCCGTTGGGCCCTCATATATCCAATTTAAGGATCGTTTACCGTCTTTGTTTGGACAATCCCACCCATCTCCCCGCCCACACCATACCAATTTACCAACTACAATGTCACTATTGTCGTCGTCACAACTATCATCTCGTCCCACCCCTACCAGGCAGGTGGGGCGGTGGAGGTGCGGCGAGGCGGTGTAGGTGGTGGTAGTTGTGATTACTACAGTGGTAGTATGGTGGTTAGTGGTGGGTTAGAGTAGTGTAAGGTGAGATGGAGCAGGACGGTAGAGTGGTAGTTGTGACGATGATAATGTTGGGATAGTGGTCGGGTGGTTGGGGGTTGGGAGTGGCTGGATATGACGACAACAATAGTGGCATGGTAGGTTAGAGTAGGGGTGGGGACCAGGTGAGTGGCAGTTGTGAAGACGACAATAGTAGTGTGAAGGTGGGGGTTAGGTTAGGGGCGGGGTGGGATGGTTGGGCGGGTGGTGGATGTGATGATGAAAGTGGTGGGATAGTGGTCGAGTGGCTGGGAATGGGTGGGTTTGACGACGACAGTAGTGGCATGGTGGTCAGTGGTGGGTTGGGGTATGGTAAGATGGGAGTGAGTGGCAGTTGTGACAACAACAATAATGATGTGGTGGTGGGGATTAGGTTAAGGGCGTGACAATAAAGATAATAGGATGGTCATAGTAGGGATGTGCAGTGAGTGACCAGGGGGTGGGTGGTGATGACAACAGTAATGGCATGGTGGTTAGTGGTGGGGTAGAGTGGGTGGCGACGACAGTAGTGGTGTGGTGGTAGTGGAGGGTTAGGGGTGGAGGTTAGGAGTGGGGCATGATGAACAATAGTAGCATGGTCGTGGTGGATGGTGATGGAATTCAGTTCCTTCTATTATGTCAATGAATGATGATTAACTAATTTGTGGAATCCAATAGAATTTGAAGGATTCAATCCATTTCAAGAAATGAACCAAACAAAGAAATTAGAATTTGGTCAAAAGAATTAGAATTCCAATTTCATCAAATTCTTTTGAATTCCGCGAACCAAACGGTCCTTTACTGAATAATTCACTTCCTATATTATTAAATCACTATCAAACAATCATGTATAACTAAATGAATAAGTTGTAATTCCATTAAAAATCAATGAAAGTTAAGTTTTGTTTTTTTGTTTTTTAAAAATTGTCCCTCCTTCACCTATCTATGTTCATATTGAATATTATATTGGCCTCTCTCATGCACACCATAAAGCTAAAGCTAAAAGACAACCACCACAAGACAAAGGCCAACACTACCAACTTCATTGTTAAACTAGAGTCAATAGTTCATCAACTTCCCACCAACATCGCTAAATCATACACATAAAAACCCGAATCGAATTTCCATAACCAAAATTCAACTTCAAATCCGACCCTCTTCATCATACCTTAAGATGCTACAATTTACCCATCCATATCGACACTGAGACCAATACAGGAAACGTGTTTTACATAATAGCACAAACTCTTTTTTCATCCAAGTACAAACGATGTAGAACTCTAACATATCCCTCCTGCCAGATGCACAAAGCTTGGGATTTTTCAAGCTTGGACTGAACCTTTCAAGACCGTTTTCAATAAATTCAGAAAAAGACTCGGGTTTTTTAGGCCTAGATCAGACTAGGTCACACTTTTTCATTTATTTTCAAGTCAGACTTTTTTAAATCAGACCTAGGTCTACGCATGCACCAAAAAATTTGGCCTTGTTATACTTTGAGGCTCGGACTATGCTTAGGCTCTTTTGTGCATTTCTAAGTCTATGGCTAGATGAACATAAATTATCTCAATGTCAAGAGGGAACTAGATTAGTGAAGAAGGTAGACAAATGCAAATTATCCCAAGGCTTTGAGTTTTTAGGTAGTGAGGTAGCACACATTGGCTCTAATACCATACAAAGTTCTACGAAACTTCATCAAATTACCCTCCAAAATCCCTAAAGGATAAAAAGAAGCAATCTTTTGAATGTTAAATACTATTAGATAGGTTACTTTTTATAGGCATTAGATGGGCTGGTTCTTCCAACTCGATATTGTCAAGAATTCATGACCATTGCATTCAGAACATATACAAATAAGGAAATGGTCCAAGTTTAACAACATGGTTGCATGAGTGACAAAGGCTAAAAACCAACATCTCATAAGATTCAAATCACTTGAGAGACAAATAAATTCAAAAGCCTTGGAGCAATAAATGGCTGAATGCAAGATCCAGGTTAAGAAGATTAAAAGGTTTATACATATGACGCATTGCAGTTTTGGAGCAATCATAGTTGCATCTTTTATTGTGATCACATGGGAAAAGCATTGTTTTGACCCATGGAAAATGTGAAATAGAATTAGTTTTTTTTGTAATCACCAACTTCATTACTGATATGCAGTTTTATCATACATTAATCCCATCTGTTTGTTGCCCATGAATCAATAATTTGGTATCATTCTACAAGCACGGTGCACCTCCGCTTTCGAACCTTCCAACTCATTTTCTCATCGGGTGACTGAAGCAAAAACAAAACAAAGTATAAGAGATCGGATTTGTTACCTAAAGAAGGCCAATTTGCTCCAATAAACATATACGCAATCATATTCTATTTTTGGAATTGTCAAGCCCTACATCAGCTAGCCGCCAACAAGTTTGAAACTCTATGAACCAATATAGACCATACATTTTTAACTTCCTTAAATATGTTACCAATTGTTTCCTAGAAAAATTCGCTTTCATTAGTGAACCAACATAAGCTTGTTTAGGAAACGGTTGATAATATAATAAAGATAACTAATAAAATTATTATGGAAGTTAAATATGAGTGGTTAATATTGGTTCATAAAGTTTCTAACTTATTGAAGATTTTTTATGGAAGTTAAATATATGTTGGTGCCTCCTCTTTCTCAAAGGCTCTTTTAGAAAGTAATCTAGGGGTTCCACATATTCTCACATGGTACAAGGGGCTCTAGGGACTCGACACTGAGACAATCTGTACTGCCTGGCCCCCTAACCAATCAAGCCACCTTTCAACACTCTAGGATAATTTGTGTCCATCTCGCCTCTGGTGGAGGGGGCATGTTAGAGTCTTGTATCGGCTAAACTTGGACCATTTTTCCTATATATTAATATTAGTTGGTGCCTCACTTCTCTCAAGGGCTCTGTTGGAAAATAAACCAGAGGTTCCATTCTCACAGAAATCATATGCTTTTCATTTTGATTATATGATCAAAATTGTTGTACCTCAAGTGTTTCAGATAGAAGACATTAAACCAAACCACACAAACCCACTATGTTCCACCCAGAGGTGGGGTCAGGGGAGGGTGTGATGTATGCAGACCTGACCTCTACCTGGATGTTTCCATGAATTACAAATACAAGACCTTATGCCCATGAAAAATTCAAGGAATACAGAAGGGTTAACATTGATATGCATTGTAGCTTACCTGTTGGCTAAAGGAAAATGGAATTCCAACTCTCTTAGAACCATCAGCCATCCTTTTACAAGAATAACGGTTTTCTATAGGAGCAGGTTCACTGGAGACCTGAGAAAAATACACTAGTTCAGCGTTAACCAAAAGTACTGCAAGACTTTAAGAAGAAACCGACCACAATACACAAATAACTAGAAAATAATCTCCAGCTTGTCAAAAGGTATCATAACAATGAAGTAAGACAGCAGCAGAGGCATTTAAAGGTGTTAAGGCAATAGCATTTAACATATTATCTTTGCTGATTCTACTCCTACAATCTGACTTTCTTTTAGTAACAGTAGGTATCCAGGCCAACTTGCAAGCACATCAACTAATCTCATGGGGATCAGAAAAACCAGCGGTGGCCTTGAGAAGACTCAGACTGGCAACATATGGAAAAAAGCTCAAGGCCTGACATTTATTAGCCAGGAAAGATGGCCCACAAGGTTTTCCTACAATCTGATTTGCAGTTCAAACAGACTAATGCTTAAATTTTTTAAAGAAATTGACACATAAATCGTTCTGTAAATACAGATAAGATGTTAGGGAGATAGTTTGTAATCAAAGCCCACATCGCTTTTGATTTGAAAAGTTATAGCTTTCATCTTGAAAGTAAAACAGCAATCTTGTTTCATGGATGAACTATATGGAAAATGGCATTAGTCCGGTCAGCTTGTTAGCATAACAAAAAATAACAGAATTTGCAACAGAGAAAATGATTAAAGAATTGTCAAAAAATAGAACGATCCATACACCAAAAGAAAATTTAAGTCATATTTAAAAAAAGTATAAAGGTTAGTTCACCTGAGTTTGAACTGCTTGGATTAATATATCTTGGCAACCAATAGCATGCACACTTTCCAGCTTAGGGCATTGCAGGACTAATTTTTCTGTGGGATTAGACGATTAAAAGTCAGTCAACAGAAAAGATATAGATAGTTATTGAATTATATCAACATCATGTGGTCGAGCATCAAAAAAAATTACCTGGAAGGAGATTTTTACAAGAGTTTAGGTTCAGATCATTGAGATTTGGGCAATTTAGATACAAGGACTGCAAAAGATAATTGTAAGCTCAGAACAAGTTTCAACCCATATGTACAATTGGAAGAAGAAACTATTTAGAATCTTACATCAAGGCTGGAACAACCCCAAAGGCTTAGCTTTTTCAACCGAGCATGCTTTATAAACAACTTCTGATATATAAGATGCAGCTTGCTGTTTGGTGATCTTTGTAGTTCAGAACCACCATTCCCGTCATGGGTTGGATATTGTGCATCTGATTCACATATTGTCATCCCACAGTCCATAAGTTCCAAAAGAGGCAATTGGGCTGTGGCAAATTGGATACCACCTGATCATAAAGAACAGAAGCAAAGGTTATTTGGGACCAAAACAAAAATGATGCTTATACAGCATGTCTCAGATTCTAGACTAAGAAAATTACTTGATGTGATATTAGGACATAGAGCAAGTAGGAGTCTTGTTAGAGTCTCTGGGAATACATTGCATATCATCCCAATACCACTGTCACTTATGCTAGACCTGTAATTAACAGACATCATCAGTGAATGAAGAATACAGACACAGACTGCAAGTCATTATCTCATTCAAATGGTCAAAATTTTCTTCGCAAAAAGGTCACAAAAGGGTAGTCCGAAAAAATAAATATGGACAATGATCTGCATACACTCTTGAAAAGGTATAAAAATATGAATAATTATACCAAATAAAAACTAGCAGCAAGACTTACCCACTGAGATCAAGCAATTCCAAGTTCGAGTAGCTTTTAGAAATTGCTACAACCGATGCATCAGTTATTTCTGATCCCAGTACAAGCGATAGCATACGCAATCCCCTAAAATGCAAATTTGGGCAAGTATTAGGTCATTTTCTCTTGAATGTTCCCTTAACTTCTTGTTATAAGTGCAACTAATAATATCACTTTATTAGCACATAATGATACTTCAGTTTGGAGACTACCAGCAAATCTGATAGCAATAAAGCACTTAGCCATACCTTAAATTAGCAGCAGTGAGAGAAAGCACAACAGAATGGGAAAGTTGAAGAGAAGAAATGTGGATATTTTTTAATCTAGGACAGCTTCTTCCAAGGCCATCCATCATAGCAGTAAGATCAGTGCCATCGTTCGCTTGGCAAGAAAAATCAAGGGATATCTCATTTAAATTGGGGCAATTGAAAACCTAGTTGAGACAAAAAGGAGGTAAAAGTTAAGTATCGCTAAAAAAATGAATGTTATTACAAAGATCATAGTCAGGTAACATCAAGCGTGCAATAACTAAGAGCAATTTCAAAGACACATACCATCTTTGAAAGTGAATGAAGATCTGAAAGCCAAAGTGTGGAGAGTGTGTTGGAACAGAGAGCAAAGCCCCCAAGGTTAGAACACCCCTCCATCTTAAGAGTTGTGAGACAGCGCTTATCAGCAACAAAACGGCCCAATTCATCCCTAAAATCATAAATTTAAACAAAATCACATTCTGGGGAAGAAAAACCTAAAATCATATATATAAACAAAAATCACATTTTGGGGCAAAAAATTGTCTTAATCAGGGATCCAAGTGCAATGCGAAGTTGCAAGTGCAGAATTGCCAAAAAAACCCATCAGAGCTTCCATACTTGAACTCAACAATAATGCATTTTTGCACAATAATGATATCCAAAAAAATAGGTTGAAAGGATACCCAGTAATGCGATTAAATGAGCCTTCACATGTGAAGATCTCCAGAGACTCAAGATTCGGGCAGGCAAATGCAATGCAGGCCAGCATAGTTGAATCCATATCACTGCATTATAGAAATTGCCACACAAATAAATTAATCAAATTACCATTTTTCTTCAGACTTTCATTTTAACTGCAAAATCTAAATGTTGTAATGTATCGATTCAAGAGAATGTCACGAAAATTTTTAATTTTAGTTATGCATTTCATATCCATTGATTGTTCCTTCTTAGGTTTATAATAATTTTTAAGAATATTTGTTAAATATCTTTAATTGGTCTGTGAAATGCCGTATCAAACTTAATAACGGTGGCCGGATGGCAAAAACCCCAGATCTGATATTTTCGAACCTTTCCATGGTAAGTGATAGTCTAGCAAGAGCTGGACATTTCTGTAAAACCGATCCAACAAATCCGACTTGAGTCCTGGGCGGAACCTTGAGTCGGAGCTCTTCAGCAGCTCGCCAAAGCCGTTTCGTAACGTCCCGCCACCCCTTACACACCTTCGCAGCCGACAACAACGACGGCGGCGGCAACCTCCTCAACACCTCCCACAAACAACTCGCTGGCAAACCACCAGATCCAATATTAAACTCCACATCCGGCGAGAGATACTCCTCCTCCCCTCCCTCATCATCAGATTCCGGCAACTCATGAACATCAATATCATCAAACGACAACGCTCGTCGTAGATTCGAGTACGGCTGCTGCCGTTGATGCGGACGGACCGCAGATAACGGAGGTGAAGCCGGAATAATGGTGGTCGCGGAGGAAGTTGATGAATCAGTTGGAGTAACAGCAGCAGAGCTTGAATCAGTGATCGATGGAGGTGGAAGGTGACATACATGGCCTTTCTTCGGTTGTCCACATCGGCCACAGTTGTAGCTTCCACGTCGCTTTCCTCTTTTGGCAAGGAAGGCGTCGGATATGGCGGTGGCGCCGCCGGGAGTGACGGGATGAGGCTGGTGGCCGTGCATCTTTAGTTAGGGTTTGGATTCTTAGAGAGAGAAATTGGAGAGATGTAGAGAGAGAAAGAAGCAAAGGGAGAATAAGGAAGAAATAAAGAAGAAGGGGCGGGAGATATCGAATGCTTCGCGCCTTGGTTTCAATTTTAGAGGAGCGTTTTCTCGCTCTCTTTCTTTTGAGTAAATTACGTTTTCTCCCCTGTGGTTTGTCAAAAATTACAACTTTATCCTTATAGTTTAAATTTTTCATTTTTAGTCCTTATACTTGGTAACAATTGTTATTTTCATTCTTATATTTTATAATTTATTGTTGTTCGGTCCTTCTTATTTACAAGTTCTTGCTTTTTTTGTTCTTTATACTCAGAGATATAAATTATATCAAAGATGAAAATAACAATAAATTATAAATTATATGAATGAAAATCGTAATTTCCAAAACTATAGGGACGAAAATCGTAATTTTTTACAAGTCACGGATGAAAATCATAATTAGAAATAAGAGCACGTGATGTTCTTGCTTTTCTATTGTGATTCCCATTTTACCCTTGTAGCCTGCAAAAATATACTCTATTTATATCACCTTTCAATTTTATTTAATAATTTACCAATTTAAATTGTATTTAATATAAAACAACTTTTCCACTTTTATTTTATTATTTATTTAAGTAATTTATATTTGCTTAAGACATATTAAACGATTGTTTGGTTGATTTTTCATTAAATTTATATGAATAAAATATCTGTATGAATTAGAAATGTTTTTGTTAAAAAAGCTTTCTCATGGATAAAATGAACGTATTTTTTTAATTGGAAATAGCAGGTTTAGAAAAAAACCTGACTTTAAGCATAAAACTCCTACTATAAGCTTATTAAATAAGCCATGTTTATATATCATTAAGCTACTACTAAATAGTTATGTACAGTTGATCGAATAAACAGTAAGTTTTATTAGAGCATTTCCAACATCTATGTTAAAAGAGAGAAAAGGGGGAATTTAAGCACATTTTTTGTGTCGGTAGTTATTATATCTTGTATGCTAAAAATCTCTAAATAGAGATAGATTATTATTTTAATATTTATAATATATATTTAGAAAAAAAAATATTTTATTAAATTAATTGAGTATTTTTTTTAATATAATTACTTTTTGAATTGCTAAAATAAAGTAGCTTTTGGAGTTTTATGTAAATAAATTTAGAGATTTTGACTTTTAATACTCTATTTTGTAAAAAATATAACATATCTGTTAAAAATGCACATTAAACTATTGACAAATAAGCAGAAGATGTTTTTAAGATTTCAGTATAAATTATATTATTAGAATATTTTATAATTTATTTGATATCCCCAAAACTTTTAAAACAGATTTATACGAAATGATGATGCATTCAACTCTATTGATGGAAACAATAAAAAAGAATATTGTTTTTCCTATGCATTTTAATATTGGAAAGTTCTTACTTTTGTTAAACTAGGCAAATTGCATGAAAAAGTAACGTACTTTAACTTATTTTTTGTAATTTTATGTTCAAAACTTCAATTTTGGTATCTAAGATGTAAAGTTTAAACATTTAAACATCCGGGTAACAAGTTAAAATATTAACCGGTTATCATGTTGATGTTGCGAGTGATTTGACTTACCTTTTGAATTTAAAATTAAATAAAATCTTATACTAAGTTGGATACCACGTCGCTCGGCACATCAGCATGGTAACCGGTTACTCGCAGAGACGAACCCAAAAAAAGTTTCAAACAGTTGCACCATTTTATTGTAAGAAAAGTATATAAAGAAAAAATTTCAAATAGTGACACCGCTTGACTATAAGAAACAAATATACATAATTTTTTTCAAATGATGGCACCATTTAACTAAGAAAATGACACTAACATTATTTGAACTTGGTTATAGGGTGGAACAAGAGCCTTGCAAACCAACTCTATCAAATAAAACATGTTCTCGTTGTAATTTCAAAATACATGCGGTGGCACACAACAAATTAATACGGTTGCATCTTTCACGAACATACATTTTTTAACCTTTCAACAAATGAATAATATAGTGGCATGTGCCACCGTATGCTCCATACCAGGTCCATCCCTGGTTACTCGGGAACTTAAATGTTTAAAACTTTACATCTTATGTACCAAAATTGAAGTTTTAAAAGCACGTTACCCAAAATATGAATCAAGTTAAAATACGTTGTTTTTAAAATAGATTGGGATTCCAAACTTCACATACCAAACAGTCCTTTCATTTGTATTCATTTTGGACGATGTGAATTGTATCTTGTAAAAATATATCGTTGTATCGTTTATCCAACCACTATAAATAATATATATACCAAATAAGGGCAAAAGTTTTTACAATACGACAATAAAACCACCTACTTTTAAGGGTAAAATTGTCCAAGATTTGCGTAACGGTGATAATAAATGTAATAACGTTGAAAAAGACTGCGGTGAAGATCAGCATGCTTACAAATTTGATGAGAGATATCAAACGATCCTTTAAAAATATGATGTTTTTGTTTTTTTTTTCCTTTCCAAAAACGCTAAATTTGTTTCCTAAGACATTTATTGACACTTTTGTCCTTGTGTAATATGTACGTATGTAACCCCGCGCAATATATCATCAGAACGACCCAAAGATTTTGTTTACTTTATTTTCTCACTTAACATATTTGGCGTTCATTGGGTTTTCATGAAAGACATTTATCCTTGTTTACATATCGAGACCCAAAACGGTTTCGTGGATGTTTGAACCGCCTGGTATCGAATAATCAACATGCGGGTTATGATTGACCAGCTCAGTAGGTTTCGTCAAGCTACCTATATGTTGTGTTATCGATGATATCTCGTTAGGGCAACTTGCGTAACTGAATGTCATGCATGCTTTACAAGATATTGCTTCTTGATACGATTTTTTATGCTCGTTTTTTATAAGTACAGTGTTTATTATTGATTTTTATAAATGCTCATCGTTCCTGAAAAATGTTACGATTTCTGATGATATGGAATAAACATTTCGTATGTTCCTATGTTATAACCCTCCGAAAGCAAATAAATTGATCGTACGGTATTGAAGGCCTTCAATTATCCTCAAATCTAATACGACCACATGCCATGAACGATGTATAAATACATACATACATACACACACATATATATATATATATATATATATATATGTGTGTGTGTGTGGGGGGGGGGGATAACGTTAAATTAAAACGTATCTTGTACGAAGAAAAAAAAACCATATTTAATGTTTTTTAAACGTTATATTAAAATCAGATGTTGGTAGATTGAGAAATATTTTGTTTTGTTCACACTGAGAGAATTCTGAAATTATGTTGAAATGTTTTAATAATACAGATAACTAGGGGTGATCATGGGTTGGGTTGATCGGGTTGAAAACATTTGAACAACCCAACATAATGCTTGCGGTTTGAAAAAACTTAACCCAACCCAACCCAACCTGTACGGGTTGGTCGGGTTGATGCTTTGGTACATTAAAATATTTTTCTAACATTGAATATGTTATTTCTATACTCATAATTTCTTTTTTATCATCAACCATTTGATACAACTTATCCATATTTCTTACGTATATCACATCCAGTTAATTTTCTCAATTTTCGTATATATGTTTATAGTTACTGAACATATATACGAATGAGTTATATAGAGATGTGAATAGATTGAAAAGATGTGTATATGAATAACGTACGTGATAGCGTAATTGTCTAATGTATATATTAATAGAAATTCAACAACCATATTAAATACAAGAAATAAATGGATATCGGGTTCCTCAAGTTGGGTTGGGTTTAAATAATATTAAAGCAGGTGGTCGCCCTGGGATTAGTCGGCTCGCATAGCGGGTTGGATATCCAGGTTAATAAAAAAAAATAATAATAATAATAATAATAGTAACTCAATATCAACCTATTACCTACGGTTTGAAAATTGTACAACTCGATGAGACATCAGGTTGCTTCAGGTTGAGTTGGGTTGATCGAGTTTTTGAGCACCCCTACAGATAACGTTGAAATCTAAAAAAACGAGAAAATAGAAGATATTGGGTAAAAGTCTATAGATTTGTTTAACATTCCAAAATCAAATGACTATAAAGAGAGAAATATATTCTTTTTTACCGTTCACACCAATCAGGTATTGAAATTTTGTTAAAACATTAAATGTACAGATATTTAATAACATACCCAATATTGAAACATCAGAAATGGAAAAACTGTTAAAGTTTGATGTAATTTTTAAAAGACTGTTTTTTCCTTTTCCATTTTGGACAAATTATGAAGGAAAAAAAACGGTTGGAGACTCTGTTAGTAAAATTTAAATTTTCCAACCGTTTACCAAACATCACATCACATCTATTCATCTGTTACATTCCGATTCCCGCCTTTTCTCCACATTTTCTTTTCCGTCACCGTTGTCATGGTTTTTTTTTTCTTTTTTTTGATTAACCTGAATATTCAGCCCGCTATATGAGCCGAGTGATCTCGGGGTGACCATCCGCTTCGGGGGTAGCCCGAAGTAACCGCATTTGAACCTCCATATCCACAAAGAGATTTTTATTCCTCATTGGATTCAAACCTGAGACCTCCATACACTTTTGAGCTGTGGAGTCCAAACTTAAACCAATCAGACACCACCCTTATGATTATTGTCATAGTTTTCGCTATTATTATACAAATACGTATATTTATAAGTATATTTCCATATAAATATATTTAATTTGAAATTCCCCAAAAATATTTGGAAATTGAAAAGGAATATTCAAAGTAATTTATTGTCGTAATTAATTTGTTGATGGATTAATGAAAATTTATAAGATTTATATATCAGAATTAAATGCAAATAAAAGACAATCGTTTAATTTCATTTTTAGGTTCATTTCGATTTATAAAATTGGATTTAGAATTGAAATTGTTTGGTTTGAAAAAAAATGGATTTAAAATTTTAGGATCTGTTTGGTTTGTATGTTTTTTTTTTTTTGGGATTTCGATTGAATGCATTGGAATAGATTTGAAATAATTGGTGTGTTTGGTTTGTAGAATTTGAAATGAAATTGGATTCCATTATTTATAAATAATTTATAAAAATTATAAAAATAAATAAATTACATTTTTATTAGTCGAGTATTACAAAACAAATTTTTTTTGACATTTTTTAAAATCTTATTTCATAGAACTAGAAGAGTATTCGCGTAATGCAACGAGACATATCTCTATTTTCATATTTTAATTTTATTATTTGTTTCTGTCGATGTTATAATACAATTTTATGTGTTTTTAAGAAAGCAATAATGATTTTATTTTTGAATAAAATACAAATTTGAAAAAAAAATTATATCAATGTTAATATTAAATCAATTATTTAAAAGTTTTCATTTTTATTTATTTTTAGTTTAATAATATAATATTTTATAAAGATAATAATTAARTATTTTGTTAGAAYTCAAWRATTRTYCTAATTATATTTTARATWTTTTATATTTAAAATGAAATGTTTATCTTGTATTTGATTATGTTTATATGCAGTTAGTTATACAATATGAAGCTTTAATAAGTTGTACTTACGCACAATCTACTTGTAATCTTGAGTTTTAAGTAATATGCATTAATAAACAATATTTTACGCATAAAAAGTGGTTTTTAAGAGTTTTTGTAAAATATTTTATAATATAGTATAGATTATACGAAATCATTAAATCTTGAGCTCTCCCTAAGGATTCAAAATCTTGTGTTTGTAGAATTTCAATTAAATCATAAGATTTTAAATCTGAACAATCCAACAAACCAAACATGAGATTGGAATAGATTTGAAATCCAAATTCTCTCAAATTCATTATATTCCTGTAAACTAAACGAGACCTCAGAGTTTTTTGTTGAAATCCTACAAATAGAGGATTTCAATCCCACGCGGTTGGTATTTAACAGGACTACAAGCGTACTCGCGCAATGCAGCATAATACATTTTAGTGTTTCGTTTCATTATTTATCACCGTCGTTTTTATAATACAATTATGCATAGTTTTGAGAAAACGATAATGTATTTATATTTGAATAAAATATAAATTTAAAAACCCCATAAAATTTTGAAAATAATGTATATGTCTCCCCTCTTCTGTGGTCTCTCGGCTTCCCTCCTCCGGTCGTCGTTTTTCCTACCAACTTGCCGCCATTGGCTCAATCATCTTCATTCCCGGCTCTTCTTGATTTTATCGCTGTCAGTTCGTCCTCCATCCTTACTGCTCTGCCCAAAATCCCCATTTTCCTCATTCTAAACAATCCATTGGAGATGCTTTAAACAAGCTTTTATGAATTTTTAGCATAAGGAATTGCCTACGGATGTTTTTCAAAGCATGTGATTCCTTGTGATCTAATTATTTCATGCAAGATTCAAATGAGTTCGAAAATTGAGTGTGTTTCCTGTTCCTATGCCTTTTTGAAATTGCGTAAGTGGGTAGTTCTTACAGTGTTGGATTCTGTAAGATTGGCGTGGTAATGTTAGGATCGACGACTGTACATTTATCTATGGTTGTTAGGATTATTTGTCATGTATTGTGAATTTCAATAAGACGTTCAGACAAAGAATGCCCAAAAAACGTAAGAAATTGTAACGAATTTTTTGTTGCTTTATCTGTAACGATGAATTTTTCTTTCTTTTCTCAGCTAGCGTAACAACTGCTTAATTGGGTTTTCTTATTTAATACTTATTTTAACTGGTAACCATAAATCTTGGACTACTGTTGACATAAAATGTCAAATAATGACAATTTATTTTAGTTCATGTTAAATTCGAAGAATATATATATATATAGAAGAGCGATCAAATGAAAACCACCACCATTTGTAAAAACCGTATAAACCACCCTTATACGTCGATTTCATTGTTTAATCTTGTGAAATTGTTGCATATAATACTTTTTTTTATGAATTTGTTTCATATATGGTTATGAAATTATTTCATATAATATTTAATGAAATTTTAATAAAACTGTTTCATGTATTTTTCTAAAATTAAAATAATGATGATAATATCCATGATTAACACCTTCCACAATAAAAATGGTTAATCAACCTCTCATAATTACAAAAAAATGAACAAAATGAAAAATTATGATTGGTTGAATGAGGTTTTCACGGTTTTTACAGATTGAATGATTTTTATTTGAACGCTCCCCTATATATATATATATTAGAAAATAAAAGATTTTGTATGCGTTAATAATTTATGTTTAGGAGCCGTTTACCAAACACTTGGAAGCAAAAGACACCGCTCTTACTTACCTTATCGGGTAACGTTTCTATGTCTCAAGATGAATTGTTGGTAAGCGTTTTTTTTACCTGGTCAATGTTCACTAGGTAAAAGTCTTCCCTATCACTAGATAGCTCTGGCCAAGGTTCCGATTCAGATGTAGTAGCCTACCTTTGAATATATTTCACGAAATAACCCATGAACCTGATAGAGCGTTCCTTTTTCCCGAAAGGGCTTAGTTGATCCATTATTTATGTTTTAGGGCTTCTTCTTTTTCCGACGGCAAACAAAAAGTCTACGTCGAATGAACCGGATACGGACATTTCCAACAAGATTTCATTCTCGAACAAAATCCATTTTTTGACTCCTGCTTCACCTTAATTGTCATTTGAATAAGTAAAAGTTATGTCTTGATCCGAAGGCGGATAGCATTTCTATCCTTCGAATATGTCTAATCTTACCCGGTAAGATTCTCCATTTTAGCAATGTCTCTTACCGGATGATATTTTCAATGACTTTCCATCAAGTCCTATATGGATAAAAACATAAAATTGCTTGCGTGGATTAATCTGTCTGTATCAACTATGAAAGTTTTTGTTCGACAGTGTTTTTTTCATAGATGGAATGAGCTGCATAGTTTCTGCATCAAGCCATCCAAAAAGCTTACCAAATAAGTCACTTTCTATATTATTAAGTCATTACCAGACAATCATGTATAGCTGACCGAATAAGCCTAGTCCCATTAAACTCATTAAGTTGCCAACAAACAGACATTTTACCTAGCAAGGTAAGTGACACACCCGGTAGGTTGTCCAAGTGACATACGATATCCAATCATGCATTTCAAAGGCATACATCAGTCGAGGCATTTTGCAAACATTTCACTTATTCTCCGTAAGCGAAACAAAGGAAATACAAACGGAAAACGAGAGAGAAATTACGTGTCGAGCTATAAATTCAACCAATAATTGCTATAAATACATGAATTATGTACCATTTCCGATCGATCCATCGATGAGTCAAAAATGGTGACACTAAATGTAAACCTGCTTCTCTCAAGGCTTCTTCCATCAACAGATATCAAATGTTGTGATGTATTCCTTTTTTTCATGTTGCGATCTTGTGCCAATCAAATACCTGTTGATAACTTCTAAATGGGTTATTGACCTGAAAAAAAAACATATATCACAAACATTTGTGTCTTTGAAAGACGGGTTCCATGTAGGGCCAGTTAAGGCAGGGTTTTTCTCAAATATATCACAAATACAATAACAATTATATAAAAACTTGAAAGCAAGTGTTTTGTTATACTTCCATTTCCTGTGTGTCATAGTTGTTGCACTTTCAATCAATCATTTGATTACTGACCCAAGTTTTTTTTTTCTTCGGGTAATTGTGGGTTTCTCGGTCAACTTAAGGGCCGTTTACCAAACGCTTACCCGGGTAAGCGCTTACCAAGTCACACTAGCTTAGCAGATAAATATGGTAAGGGCCAAAAATCTTACCCGGTAAGAGTGAGACAAGGACCAAGAGTCTTACCCAGTAAGTGAGAGMGACGACTCTTACCATGGTAAGCGCTTACCGGGTAAATTGTTGCATAAGATACCGTTTTGGTTGACTAAAATCTTACCCGGTAAGTCAAAGATAGTGTTAATTTTTACTGGTAAGCGCTTACCAGGTAAGTATTTGGTAAACGGCCCCTTACTAATTTAAATGGCCTAAAGTCACCGTAGGTGGACCTCCATGGCCACAAGGGTTTTGATGGTGACTGAATTCAAACCCGAGGTAGATGAGATTTCAACTACACCTCCTCGAGTCTTAATCAATGCGCCACAATCGAAAATAAATTTTATATGTTTGTTTCTTAAATATAAATTCCTAAAAACAAAATAAATTTATCCTTAATTATACAGCGTCCACTTTTAAATGTAAACATCTTCTTCCTAATTTTATCCTTAATTATGAGATGGAGAAAGTCTCTCTCTATTATAAAAGGTAAAATTGTCATTTGGTTAATTAAGAAAACGTAATAATTACACATTCCAAAAAATGTATGCCTTTTTCATTGTGGACACCTATTTTAGGACGGAGGGAGTAAATAAATAGTGTCTGAAATGCTAGCATGCTTGTGAACGATACCATCTAAGCTAATCAATATATTTCATGTCCAACGAACGGAAGCACGCGCGCGTGCATATATAACTGTTTCTCACCTTAGAAGCAAGCATCAGGATGCAATCAATTGATTAAGCTCTTGCTAAACTCCTGCTGCAGCTTTAGCCTGGGAATCCGCCTTGCCCTGAATGGAATTTCAACAAATCATCGCAATGATAGTTACACGAAAGAAACATGATGCCAGCAATTTGAAATTACAACATGATTACTGGATGCAACTCTTGTCAACAATCTGAGAATCGACATCCAGCAGTATGTTCTCGTGGGGGTATGTTCAAATTAGAACCGTAAAATATTTTGAGAATCCAGGAACCAACTATTTATATATTATTCATGAGGAATGTTGTGATAAATATTTATCATGAAAACTATTCATAACGAAAATGCATGGTGCATAATAATAAGAGTAAATTACGATTTTCATCCCAGTGGGTTGTTAATAATTTCCAGTTTCGTATCTGTGGTTCAGAAATTGCAATTTTAGCCCTATGGTTTGCAATTTGTTGCTATTTTCGTCCCTGGCTAAATTCTTATCTTTAAGTAGAAAGGACCAAAATAGTGGAGAATTGTAAACCACTGGGACCAAAAAACAATAAATTGTAAATCATAAGGACGAAAATAGCAATGAACACAAACCTTAAGGATGAAAACCACAATTTCTCAACCACAGAGACGGAAACCTTGATTTACTTCAAATATAATGGGTTTGAAATTAGGATTTTCATCCATATGGTTTACAATACATTATTGTTTTCGTCCTTATACTTTATTGCTTTTTTCGTCCCTGTGGTTTACGATTCATTTCTATTTTAGTCCCTCGTACTTAAAGGTAGTAGTTAGCCTCAGGGACGGAAATAGAAATGAATGGTAAATCAAAGGGACAAAAACCGCAATTCAAAACCACAGGGACAAAATCCGCAATTTTTAACAAACCACGAAAACAAAAACGTAATTTACTCTTATGTTTATTTAGGGGCTGTTTGGTTGGTTCTCCATTGAGTCTTGTATGGATAAAGTTGTTTGTATAGATTGAGGGTTTTTATTTGGGAGGGTTTTTCATAGATGAAAAGAGCTTTTTTTGGTTTGGGGGGGCAGGTTTTAGAAAAACTTTGCTTTCTCCCCTAGAAGCTTACTGAAGAAGCTACTTTTTATATCATTAAGCCACCAAACAGTCATGTATAGCTGACCAAATAAGCTATAAGTCCCATTAAGCTCATTAAGCTACTAACGAACATACCCTTAGTTCACTAGCCTTAAACCTCTTGCAGACTTGTAATTTTTCAGATACAACTGAAGATTTTATTTTCCATTTTTCATGAGTCCATATAAACCAAACCTATACTAGCTGAGCCAAACCTCAGCATAAGCTGTTTAAGCTTGGCAAGCCATGACCCAAATCCAAGCCTACATATTTTTTCATGAGCCAAGCTCTGTGCCTAGCAAGCTCAGGCATGGCTTTGCTCATGCATTCCTACTGAAAGCTTTTCATGGTATGTGGATACTCAAGGAGTGAGAAACGGTTAGGTGAAAGAAAGATTTCCAAATGAAATGGTTTGATAATAGTGATTGGAGATAATGAATCGGAGTCTTACTCCAGATGGAGAATTTCGGATTTTCCTTGTGGGTGTCCTCATGGTGACGAATTCCTCTGCCGATGTAGGGTGAACACCAATGGTCGCGTCAAACTGTGCCTTGGTCAGCCCAGCTTTAATGGCAATAGCAAATCCCTGTATGGCAACTCAAGTTTGATTAGACTAGAGATGCACAAAAAGCCCTAAGCCCATCCCCAAAAGAGCCCGATCGAGCCATGTTTTTTTCAAAGCCCAATTAAACCTATTATCACACAAAGCTCGGCCAGAAAAAGCCCAGGCGCAGACCAGGCCTAAAAGCCCGATCAGTCCATTTTTTTTCTTCCAAAAGCCCGGCCTGAGAAAGCCTGATTGAGCCTATTTTCAAACAGAAAGCCCATGCCCGGCTCCAAAAATCCCGGGCCTTGGAAAATGAAGAAAAACCAAACAATGGCAAACAAATGCGTGGCAACCTGAACAATTTCTGCTGAATCTTCACCACACATGTGTAATCCGATCACTTGGTCGGTCTTAGCACACACTACAAGTTTCATGAAAACTTTATCAGGAAGCCCGGATAGAGTAGCCTTTAAGGGCCTAAAGTTTGCCGTGAACACATTGATGTCACCATATGCTGCTATTGCCTGCAATTATGTATGAGTCAATAGATGTATATATGCTAACAAGTTGAAGTTATTTCGGGCATGACTCGAACCTGCTCCTCACTAAGTCCGACTTGCCCGATTGGTGGCTGGGAGAATACTGCAGATGGTACAGCCCTACAGAACAATTAGGAAGTAAGCAATGAGGTATGCTGTCCTAGGGTTGGGTTTGAGTGAGAACAACCCTTTTTCATAAGAACGTGAGAAAACGTGAAGGTATCGTTATGTTGTGTGAAGGTTTGTCGTGAGAACCGGGAAGATACCTTTTTATTGTGTCAAGGTTACAACATTCATATAATATATTGTAACCTGCCAGTACAAATTCAAAGGTGATTTTTATATGAAAGTTACAATCTTTACACAATATAACGCAACATTCATACAATATACTCCCTCTGTCCCAAAATACATGTCTACAATGAAAAAGGCACACAATTATAAAAATGTGCAATTATTACACTTTTCAGAACTACCAAGACAATTTTACCTTTTATAATAGAGGGAGTAATGAATTTCTCTCTCTCATAATTAAGGGTAGAATTGGAAAAGACACTTAATTTGGGACAAACTACAATAGAAACGTGGACACTTATTTTTGAGACGTAGGGAGTATATTTATCTTCACTTGATCTCAGTTTCTTACGGAAGTGAAAATTTATCATATAATCCTGACTCTGCAGTTATAAATGATTAGTCACAACATTGTAAGGAGACAATACCTAAAATCTGGTTTCGTAGGTTCATTTGCAAAAAGGGTTTTGGCTAATGCCCCTCCCTCCATTAAAGCAACTGGGGTGAGATTCATTCTATCGGTGACGTCTCCAACTGCCCAAATAGATGGAACCGATGTACGAGAGTATTCATCGACCTGAGAATTCATTGAACATATGAAACAATATAAGATAAGATCCACAAACATGTGTAGACAAACAGACCGCTAATAAAGCTACCTCTATTGCTCCATTCTTGTCCAGTTTCACACCCACGGTCTCCAATCCTAAATTCTGCAATGTCAAATGAATACGAATTATCTACTTGTATATATGAAGTATAAATGGTAAATTTAGTCACATGCTGAATCACTTGCAACTTAACTTGATGCCTTATAGTTACTTAGAACCACAAAGTCAACATATTTACCAGAAGAGAAAAATGAATAACCAAGTAATTATGTTAACTACTATTGTCATACAAATATACAGTACATGTATATCATCCATAATCAGTATCAGGTCGGATATGCCGGATTTGTTTGGTTTGGTTTTCATTTCTCACTTTCTCTCACCTTCACACTTTTCACAAACCAGGTGACATTCACGGAAATATCGGCTTTTCTCTTTAGGGTAGAGGTTTGTATGCACACATCTTACGATCGCCAGACTTGGTTTGGTTTAGTTTGGTTTTATCCATAATCACTTTCAAATTATTTCGTGCCTTTTACTTTTTTTTTGAGGTTTTGCCATGGAATAGAAGGATATAAGAAAAGCATGATGTAACTTTAAGATTTAACCGAGGAGATGTTGGTTTCTTCAAGATGGTCGCACCATCATTCATTACGAAACAAAAAAACCAATACTAAAAAATGATAGTAAATACTTAATAACGTATTTTCTAATTCATCTTTTACTCGAGATATTTTTTTGTTCAGTTCAGTTTTTGCACTACAGTGATAAGCCAACATACTCAAAACTAACATGGTTACATAGCGATTCATAAAAACACTTGGGACACTTGCCCAGTTAACCGTGTAAAGTCTCCATTCAGGAAAATAACACAATTTTCAGAAGAAAAATGCAATGCTAAGCTTGCTTCCTTCCCTCTAGTCATAGTTGAACTTAACTAAATCACACGAGCTTCCTTTTGTACTTTTGGCCAGCTGGCCTTGTCCGAGTGGTTGGTTAGGATTCTCTCATAAGGGTGTGTTTGCTACATGGGCGGGACTGGGGGTGATAATGGGGTAGGTAGGCAGGTGAAAGAATTGTGGAAGGGCGCACCAAACACGAGAAATAATTTTTTTTTGTAATTTTGTTCTATCATGTCCTGTCCTGCATACCAAACACATCCAAACAGCACAAGGGTCGCAAATTTGGGTATCATTCAGGTGTGACTAGTAACAGAAACGCTTACAGAAAAGAAGAGTACCTTTGTATTGGGCTTGCGCCCTGTGGCAAACATAACATGTGAGAAGCCCTCGGTTGTTCCTTTATTAGTTTTTAAAGAAAACGACCCATCTGATGATTTGATCACAGCTTGTGGTGACTCCTCTGGGTGGAACTCGATTCCCTTTAAGGACATCTGCTCTGCAACGAAGTCTCTAACCTGTTCAAGTTGAAAGACTGGGTTTTTAAAGTAGGACAGGTCACAGAATATAAGATAATTGTACCATTGAGAGACTAATCTTCGAACCGTTGTACTTTGATCTTAATTGCAAACTAACCACCAAAAATGGAAGAAAAAAAAAAGACCACTAGTAACAAATATGAACCTTTGGGCAAATTGTGAAAAAAAGAAAGGGCAAAATGCAAAAAAGCTTGCCTTGGTTCCTAGTTAGTGCAACAAAGATTTTTCTGTTCTCAATCGTTGTCAAAAAAATCAAATTTTCCTTTTTAATGTAACAAAGTTTCCTATTGTTTTACCCATTTTGACCAGTGACCTGCTGATTTTGTAACATTTGATGACATGAATCTCATGTTTCTTGTCTACTTTGCCATAACCCTTCCATAAATGGACATCCACATCATCAGATGTACAAGGTCAACAAGTTAGCAGTCAAAATGGGTACAAAAATAAGAAATGTAAGACTACGTTACATCGATTTAGGAAAAAAATATCTTTGTTACACTAAACAGCCCAAAAAATAAATGCTTTAAGAAGCATCATACTTGACATTTTTTGTCTAACAACTCGCTTTCTTTTCCAAAGGGCCCTTGGCTTGGCAGTACCTTGTAACCCAACCTTCATAGAGGTCAAGAGTTCAAGTCTTGCCAAGGGCGAGAAGTGCATATGCGAGTTCAATTTGCCGTATATAAATACTATATACTTAAAAAAACACTTGGCGTTCTTCCAAAGTGTTGTTTTGATAGTTTGTTTGCATTGGAAAAACAAATGAAGCAGTTTGAAAAGTCAATTTCTCTTTTATCATATAAACCTTGTTTTGTGATTCCTCACCTCCTCATCAAACCCACGTAAAACCTTCTTTTGACGGATAAATACATGCACCTCACTTTGCAAGCCGTTGAAGATACCAGCAAACTCAAGTGCAATGTAACCACCGCCAACAATTGCAATTTTTGTAGGTTTTGATGGCAAATCAAGGGCAGCATCCGAATCGATCACATATTCCCTTCCAGGAATTTCTGGAATGAATGGGCGCCCTCCAACTGAAACTAAAATGTTTTTTGCAGTGTAGAGTTTTCCATCAACGTCCACTGTGTGTGGGTCCACAATCTGCTCATAAAATCATACAAGCCACAAGGTAAATAACTGCACTTGAAACAATAACAGAGTCGATGAAGTTTAAGGAGCTGTATTCAAATAAGCATTCTTAACGTTAGTACCCCCGAAGGTCTTATTTGGTAAACTTATGTCTCTTTTTTCTCTTTACATTATTTTGTAATGTAAACTTAATATTGTATTTTTGTTGGACAAGAATGTGTATTTCAAGAAAAAATAGATAAAACTTTAAAAGAACATAGATTATGTTTCACCAATTTAAAAACTCGATCTGCTAGTGTAAAATAGAAGACACTATATTTTCTTGTGAACCACTTAGTAAACCATGAAAAACATATAAAAAACAAGCTTGCAATTTATAACTGCTGGTTACAAAAAAATTGTAAACTGATTTTGGTTTTGCTAAAAACAAAATGTCTGCCTAACACCACCTTTTGAGTTTTGTCCAACTTCTAACTTTCTTCAAAATACAAATGCAAAAACAGAAAACGTAAATGTTGTCAAACAAGGTCTAACCTTTCCACGTCCTTCAATCAATTTGACACCCGCATTGTTTAGAATGTTCTTGTAGATACCGGTAAGACGTTGCAACTCAGCATTCTTATTAGCCATCAAGGTGCTCCAATCATGTGTAGGTTCAGAGCCATATGACCATCCGAAACCAAGGCTCTCCTCAAATTCATGAGAATATTTAGATGCATAAACAAGCAATTTCTTTGGTACACATCCACGAAGCACACACCTTTATTGCAAATACCATCATCATCAGTGTTAAAATGCCTTTCTTGAAACATAACAGGAGGTCCAATATAGTTCATGATACCAGCAAAAAGAATAGAGCATTAATGGTAGATGGTCATAATTCACCAATACATCATATCACCAAGACGATCTTTACAATGAGAGGGGAAGGTTCAAATGAGAACCATGAATATTTTAAGAACCTCGGAACCAACTATTTCATGAAGCATTCATGATGAATAACCCTAAGATAGTCATGCACTTTCATCATTCATTATATTCATCATGAATATCTATCGCGATATCATGAATAATTCATGTTATTCATGATGAATAACCCTAAAATATTCATGAATATCATGCATTTTCATTACTCATTATATTCATCGTGAATATAATTTGCAATATTCATTATGAATAGTTGGTTCTCAGGTTGAGCCTCCCCCTACAATGATAAGAACACGATAAATAACATATCCGCTCAACTACACCAATTCTATGTTTCATAAACCTTATAAAACCAGTACCAATAACAACCATTACGAATTTACATTTCCTTTATAATTAAATATCGTTATTCTGCTGATTTTGCATTTCATATATGCATAACATACCAAATTTATAAGTTTGTAATCGTGATTTCATACAAAGATCATTGAACAATCAAAACATAATATACCCCCAACTCGCAGAAAAACAAGAATATTGCGTTAACGTCCAGGGTCCTTTCGAATAATCAACCTTAAATAAATTTCCAATAAGAGCATAACCTTCTAATTTAGATAATGACGTTCATCGACTTCAAAACCCGTCTTACACTATTCATATCTGATCACCAACCCAAATATCAATCAAGAGAATGTCAAAATCGGGTAGGAATCAGCAAAAATGGCGTTAAATTAAAACAAATGATCATATTCCGAACTTATGTCCATTTGAACCTCGCTATTTCCGTCTGAAATTGAACAACACTATTTGCAACTTACAAAAATATAACCAGAGCATTTGAATTTTAATCCAACCAACTACTCCTAAACCCTCAATTGTAACACCAACACCACAATTTATAGGTTAAATAACAAAATTAGAAACTCACGTTCCTCCTACCCCTCCGGTAGTGTCAGAAGAGATGGTAGCAAACGGAAGCTCACAAACAGCAACTGAAGCACCAAAATTCGATGCAAAACGAGAAGCCCTAACGCCGCCACTCCCGGCGCCAATAGTAAACAAGTCGTAGTCGTAACGAGGCTCGGCACCGTTGGTGGAATCCGCTCGGGTGGCGAATCGACGAGACTTGAGGATAGCATTCCGGCGATGATCAGAGAGAAAACCTAGGGCTTTTTTTGACAGATTGAAGCTAGAGGAATAACGGGAAGAAGATGATAATGATTGAGGGAAAATAATGAACGGAGAATGGTTTTGGGTTGAGAATTTGTGTCTGTATAAGAGGGTTTGCAGGGTTGAAGAAGACAAAGTGGTACTTAGCTTTGGCGTGCTCAGAGATGTCGCCATTGTTACAGCCTCTAGAATTATCACAGGAAAGATGACAAGCTTTATTTGTAGGTTATATTTTACAATATAGACCCTTTAAAATAATAGAGTTTCATATCTTACCCCCTTGAAATGTTTTACTTATACTTCACCCCCTCTGTACTTTTATAGCTCGATACGTTGGTTTGGTTTTAATTCAATCTCATTTAGATTTCTTTTGGTACACAAACATGATTTGACAGAACTGGATAGAATTAGAAAGGACTTGATAGGACATGACTGAACATAACAAGTATGTGTCTGGTGTTTGATACGACTATGACTGGACAACACATAACTAGACAAGTTGCCTCCAATTTTTTTTTATGATTTTATATATCATATAATAGTTATAATTAACACTAATAAGGTAAATGATTTAATTTATAAACATTTTTACACAGTTTTTATATACATAGATATACAGTAGTACCAAATTTGGATGAATTTTTTTATATAATTGATGTTGGTTTGAAAAAGACTTGATTCATACAAAGGATAATATTTTTTTTTTCGGTTTGGAAGATCCTTGTCGATTAGTGAAGGCAAGGTAAAGATTGTTGCATCAACAATGGTTGTGGAGGTAGAAGCATCGGTAACTGGTGGACGATGGTAGTTGTGGAGTACGTGAAGATGGTGGATAGTGGTGGTGGTGGCGGTCGACGGTGGTAGAGGAGATAGTCAATGGCCTATGCGGTGGAGGTGGGTGTGATGGAGGGCAGTGATGGTGGATATGGTGGAGGTGGTAGTGGCTGGTGATATTAATGGTGGTGGAGAAAGACAGTGGTGGTTGTGGAGGACGTGAATATGGTAAACATTAGTAGTGGTAGTCGATAATGGTGGCCAACGGTGTTAATGGTAGCCGATGGTGGTGGGCAGTGGTAGTGGTAGTCAATGGTGGTTGTTTATGGTGGAAGTCAGGTGGCCCATGGTGGTGGCAATGAACAGTGTTGGTCAATGGCTGGCGATGGGTGTGGAGGTGGTAGAGGAGGTTGTAGTAAAGGGGAAGGTAGAGATGGCCAACAGTGGTGGTGGTGGTGGCAATGGACGGTGGTAGTCCTCGGCCGATGATGGTTGTAGAAGTGGTGGAGGAGGTTATTGAAGTAGATGAGAAGATGAAGATGGCCAACGATGGTAGTGGCGATGGTTGATGGTCAATGGTGGTTGTGTAGGTGGTAGACAATGGTTACTGGTGGTGGCGGCGGCCCTAATTAGCAGTGGTGACCACAAAAACAAATATAAACAAATGGTTAATTAATAATATTTTAGTTTGTCTCATTTTGTCCTGCCTATTTTGGTGGAACAAGAAAAAACTTTTTTGTCCCACGTCCCACTTTGTCCCTGTCTCATGTTGCATTAAACATGGAACAATGAGTTTTTGTCATGTCTCATGTCGCGCCAAACGTGGGACAATGTGTTTTGTCTCGTACTGCCCCATGTACCAAACGCAACCTCAAGGATGTGCAAAAGTCACATGATTTAGCTAGAACTAACATACCATAATTGAATATCCAATTGTAATTAGATAAGATAGAAACGAACACTTGATTTATCAAACATAACCTATACCTATGATACCACTCATGTAATTTTTTATCTTCAACAACACTTACACATATTTATGGCCTCCTCATGTTTCAGTATGTGGTCCTATATAATTAAAGGGGTGGGCTAAATGCAGCCCTGTATATTATTAAATGTAAACCTACCTACTAATCTTTTCTATACACCAACATATTTCACATTTCTAATGCATTATTGCCATGACTACGTCTTGAAAAATGGTGCATACAAGACATTATTTGACGAGACTACATAGTTTATGTGTTTACTAAAATAAAACATGGATGTTACGAAAATCTTTATGATTTTTTTTTCATACACACCCTTGTTGACACATGAACAATTTCCATGAATATCGAATTCTTGTTTACATATGAACCGTTAAAAAAAACTGTAGAAGAATCTCGAGTCGAGATCTTGTTGTTGGTTTTGATTCGATGACGAAATTGATTTCTGGATAATTACATTGTTATAAATGAGCAGTTACAAAACATCTTATTGTCATTAATGGACAACTAAAATATTTTTCCAAAATATCCCTTGTAAACATTGTTACTTATGTTACCTTGTCTATGTGTGCAATTATTTACACTTTATATCATGTAATACACATATGAACCCACATGTTCATGTATGAATCAATTAAAATAGTTCATGTGTGAATTAAACAAGTTCACATATGAACTTATCATATGTGAACTCGTTTGCCGCATGTTTATAAAAATTATGCAACTACCCTCCTATCTTTTACAAAACTATTATTAACCCATCAAATATGATATTCACTGTATGAAAGACTGATATCATTTATTTACTTCTCAAATATTTACCACTTTTCAAAATTATTGTATAACGAATTTATAATGCATAACTTATGTTCTAACATTAAGCACATTCTTTTGTCCCATTGTCTTTTGTCTCGATTCCCCTTGTGGTTTTATATTCTTGATTACTTGTTTCTTACTCAACTTTTATTTCAAAAGGAATCCAAAGTAATTATATCTTTTACATTTATTAGAATGGTATTAATTTGCATAATGCAATTAGATACATATCGATTTTAATATTTCGTTTTGTTTTGTCTTATTTAATGTTATAATACAATTTTATGTGATTTTGACTTTTGAGAAAACAATAATATTTTTATTTTTGAATAAAATATAAATAATAAAGATATATCGTAAAAAATTGTTGATATTAATACCAAACTAACAATTTAAAATTTCTCCTTTTTTTTATGTATTTCTCTAATTCATTTTTTTTAATTTTTTGTTTAATAATATTTTTTATAAAGATAATAATTAAGTACTTTGTTAGAACTCAATGATTAAACTAATTATATTTTAATTTTTTTATATCTATACTATATCGTCTAAATAAAGAAAAAGAGGAATGTTATTGAATACTAGAAGCGTACTCGCGCAATGCAGCGAGATACATCGTGCTTTTAATATTTCATTTTATTATTTATCT